TCGTATGTGTTGCTGCAGTCGTACTTCATTTTTCATGTATTATCACACTCCAGGGCATGTGATACCCCGAACACGGACTGGGCAGCCGCTCCGGCCCGGACGCGCGTTCCCCCCTTCTGCCCGCACCTCCACCCTCACCCCACTCACCCACCACACCCACACATCCTCCTTTGTTTCGTTCTACCGACCAGATGGAGGCAACAAAGGCAAAAACAACAAAAGTTCAAAAAACATAACAGTTAAAATGCAAAAATGCACAAAAGACAAAAAAGGCAAGAAAAGCAAAAATAGCAGAAAAGGAAAAACAGCAGAAAAGCAAACGGGCAAGCCACTGGCCATCCCATAAGGAACCCACCACCGCGGCGCGTCCGAGCTCGATGGACCGCGGGCGGGGAGGCTCCTTTCGCGAAGGCGAGCACCAGCCGCTGCTGGCGCCCGACGAGGGTCCCTCAAAATCGAGCCAAAATGACGGCCGCACCGTCGTGGACATCCCCCCGGGTGAGGCCCCACCCCACCCTCTGCCCCACGGCCGTCTGTCTTGGGCTGTCGCCGATGGGCAAAAACAATCGGATGGGCGCCAAGGGGTTTGTCGCCGTCGCCGTTTTTGCCACTAACGCTGCCGTGGGGAGGGGGTGGGGGTGGGCATTCGACCATTGAATCGCCGGACGGCGGCTTATTGTTCCATCCCGGAGTCTCGCCTGCTTAGTTACGGACCAGGCTTGGAGGGGCCCCCGCTTGCTCCTCCGGAAGCGAGCCCCGGTCACTGCGGCCTGGATCTCCACCCACCTAGATTTTATCGTTCTGTCCCGGAGTTTTGGTTCTTTTCAATCTTCCGCAGTCCAAGCGGCTTTGAGTCTCGGCTTGCCTGCCCGCGGCCCTCCGCCTCGACCTCGAACCGCGCCCCTCTTTCGTCTGTCGCTGCCAGCTGCCCCGTGGGCCACAGTGCCAACTGCAAAAATTGGCAAATCGGCAACATGGCGAATTGGCAAGTTGGCAAGTGCCTGGCTCCAATCTGCCCCCCGAGAAGGGTGCCCTCTGCGCGGTGGGAATTCGGGCGCGCAATCGCTGGGCTCGCGCCCGTAAGGCGTCTACGGATAGCCAACGTGGGTGTGGTGTGGGCCAACCCCACTCCAGAGGGGTTGCAGTTAGCGCGGAATGGGGACAGAGGACTTTTCATGGGTGCCGTTTTTAGGCTGAGTGGCATTCCAGCCGCGAAGATCTCGGCGATAGACCGGCCTTGCGCCTTGTTGGTTGGCGTCGCGAATGCCGGCTTTCGTTTTCCTGTCACGGCGGGACGGGTGGGAGGGGAGGGATCCTCGCCGGCACTGGGACAGGTTCCTTGCCAGCGGCGGCACCGGGCGGCCTCCGCCGAACAGGTGCGGTTGAGCCCGTCCGGTTGCCCCGAGGATCGTTCTGGGTTGTGGATGTGGGTGCCCTTCACACTAGGCGCCATCGCCACGGGCCTTGGGGTTGGTGGGCGCGGAGTGGAGATCCAGCCTCTTCGTTCCTGCGGCCATGGCCAGGGGGGTCATGGGCGCCGGATGAAGAGGTTGATGCGGGGAAGTTCTGAAAATGAAGGCAACGCAGAAGTGGTGTTGTAACTAGAACTGATTGAGTATTATTAACAGCTGGATGCATAAAGAAATGATGAGGCATTAGGTGTTGCATTAATGACACTGATGAACGGACTGGATCTAAAGAACAGACCATCTGTTGCCCCTTTGCTCGGTTGTAAACTGTTGCCATGGGCTCAAGCCTCCGGTTCCGTTCAGGAGTTGCCACCCCTCAACCCTGCCTACCTTTGTCAGTGTTTCCGATTCCATTGGCTGCATACTTGTCGCAACATGGCAATGCAACGTGACAAAGCCCTTTTGCTTAGCTGGAGCTGTTCACAGTGTGAACGCGTGCGTGGTGTGGCATCAAGGCTCGCACCACTGTAGAATTGGCATTTGGGCCAAAGTCAGTCTTGTCAGAATACCATCCTCCTAATGCACCTTTGCTCGATGGAGTCATTGTGGGCGACTATAGAGCGGCACTTGGCACAGTGAACAAAAAAAGAGTTCAGCAGGGAAGGAAAACAGAAATCTACCCAATTGTCACAAGAAGCGGCCCCTGCGCATTTACAACTACTTGGTTCGTTCAGTGTCATTCCCCGCAGCACACTCTAACTGCTTTTGCGTTGAGGCATAAACCCCCCAGGGACATTGTAGCGTCTCTTTCACATTGCCAGATATCTCCCCAAATGCCTTGTCCATCAACTTCTACACCACAGTTCTCATTCAATCCTTCAAATTGACAGTAAGCACACCAATATCGACATTCTGGCTCCATCACCTAGGATATGCTAAGTTGATGACCCATCTCCCCCTCCCTCGCTCTTAGTGTCACTCCTCATTATGTCGAAGCCAGCGTGACTCAGCAACATGAACTGTTGGGGCTGCTCCACACTCAAGAGTCAGAGCACACACAATTTGCAACGATGGTTTTGTGGACAAGGTACATTGTATAGGTGATTTATACCCGCATCATTGTCATTTCGATGGGCTCATTATATATGCATCAAATGCGTGAATCACCAATTTTGGAGAAAGAATTAAGTACCCAAAGCTCTACCTTAGGCCATAAAGTTGATTTACACCCAAATCATTGTCATTTCGATGGGCTCATTATATGTGCACCAAGTGCATGAATCACCAATTTGGGAGAAAGAATTAAGTACCCAAAGCTCCACCTCAGGCCATACTCCCTGGGAGCTACTATGTTGGATCGCTGTTTACTAAGGCCAAGAATACAAAAAACTACACGACACTGCTATACAGCTTTAGGTGTTTTTGCAAAGAAATGCTCAAAGTTGTGCTAATTTAAGTGCATTAAAAAATGGGATTCTAAAGCCATGATAGGCAAGGTGTAAGCCTCAATAGCTATAATTTGGGACTTTCTAAGGCCTTCCCTGAAGATTGCATACTTGAGGAACGTCTCGCAACAAGCCACGAGCTGTTTGCTACTGATCAGAAGTGTTTTGGGGTATCTTACCAGTTTTCTGTCGATTTTGTGGCAATTACATGACATCTTAGTTTCACAGTTTAGGAAACCCGCCTCTCCTGGCATCAAATTGATGCTGAGTGTACCAAAATAGACATGGTGCCTTCCTTGTATTGGCACATTTAAGCAGCATGCGGCTTTGTGCATTTTTGCTGTATTTTCCTTTTAGTCCTGGTTAATGCTGATGCTTGCTTTGTGTTTGACTGGTGACCTCATGTTCTGTTGACAGGGTCTGATCCATTGGTTTGCAACACCGCAGAACATGTGCAGGACGAACTTGCAAAATATTTGTTGTGGGTGAGTCATTTGAAAACAATTTTGGATTGTATAACAGTTCCTTGATTCTTGGGCTGGCTCCAGAAACCCCTGGAACTTATTGAACATGTTTTTCAAGATTAGTGCGCCATTTGTGTGCAAACTTTGATCCATGATATGGTACCATATCTTATACACAATGCAAGGATACAATGGCGTTGCTATATTCTGAGGGCGTTAGATATTGAGCTGGGAGGGGTGAATTACTTGAAACTTTCCCTGAAAATGCGCTCTAGGAGCAAAAAATTCACAAGGTGCATATTTGGATTGATGTGTTGGGTTTTTGAGTTGTGCACACAATTATTGGAGTAGGCACTGATTGGGGTTTGGGGCAGCGACCATTATTGGCACTGGGTGTGTGGGTCATGTTGCCAAGACAGTGCATGCAATCAAATAAGTGTTCTCAAATGCTTGTAACATCACCATGCTGAGCATCCAATTCATGCCTAGGATGGAACCTAATGCCACCGTCAAAAGGGAATTGTATATCGCTGTGCAAATGCGCTTCCCTGTAAGTGCAAAACGACAATCCTTGTGAGCTGCACTGATCAGTATATTAGTAACTATAATACAGCTACTGATATCCTACTACGCTTCTGTGTATTTCGTCTATTCATTGGTTGAAATCTCCTTTATATCTTCTGTCAATCATCGACATCAGTTAGTACAGCAGACAAAGCTCGTTCGTGTACAAAGCAGCTGGAACTAGACTACTTCCATTTGTAGACGTGACCAGAAAGAAAGAAGATACTTGTATATTGATGAGCAGATACAGGTTTTTAAAAAAGGCGGCGTTTCTGTTCTTTGCTTCAGCGGAGTCTAATCACTGATCATTCGAATGATTGCTCTTGACAGGCTCCAGAAGCGCCACCACTGTGCGGTCCCTGGGACTTTGCACTCGCTGCGTTATGCTGTTTTTTCTTTATCGTTGGCGTCGAGCTCGTGTTATTGGGCATTTATGTGGTTGGTGTGCCTTTTGTCTGCATAGTTGTCCTGTTCTTTGCACCATCAATTCTCGTGGCGTTCGTTAGGATCTTGGTATTGTGCTTTAAGTGCATCTCGTTTCCGTTGAGACTGTGCCATCGATGCATCCACTAAGTGCGACTGTTTTTAAGCTGATAGTGCTGTATTTCCGAAACAGCGCAGTGTGCCACATGCAAAAGGTGCATGCAGGTGCAAATGTAGTGTTGTTTTTGCTATCTATTGTATGTAATCAATGCTGGCTCTGCAAGGAACGCGCACCTTTGACATGCATGAGATTGGATACAGCATTGACTCGAATGGATCTTTCTTGTTGAAGGAGTATGCAACAGGGGCCCCCGCCATCGACCGACGCTATTTTGGCACAGTTTTACATGTGATTCCAACTCCCCAGTTTGCTCAACACGTGTCCAGCAAAACCGTGGAGCTCACGGCATCTGCCTTAGGGCAGCAGGGCTCACGCGCTTCAGCCCACAATTACAAACCCTTTCGAGACTACCTTACAGCTTCCTCCGCCCCCATCTCCCAGACCACTTTCGCGACTTCTCCAGCGCGACCTAGCTCAGGGCGCTCAAAAGGTCCACCATCCCTTCGCCTTGTGCAGTAGTCACCACCCCCATTCCCCGAACGCAGCACCGGACAGATACGTATTGCGCCCGAAGGACCAGATCCTGTGGGGTACAAATATCCCCTTCGGAATGATGAGGCAGCTGTTCCCACCCTCGTGTCCCCAGCAAGCCCCCGCCTGTGCCTTCCCCGCTGCCGTCCACCTCCTGTTCCGTGCACACTCCCACACTCAAAAGAGAATCGATACCCGGGGCGAGGCACCGCCCGCACTGTTGTGCACACAGTTGCGTGCTCTGGTCAGCGTGAGTACACCACGGGCCAGTCGATCCGGCTGCGCTGAAGGGGGGCACCCGGGCAGAAGTGGAAGGAGCGGGGCTCTCAAACTCGCCCGACTTCCGATCGAAGGACCTTGGAGCGGGATGGGAGCAGGGCTGGATCCCCGCCTCGAGGCTGCCACCGCGCTGCTGGCCGGCGATCCGGAGGTCGAGGCCGCCGCGAGCCTCGGAGAAGGTGGGCGGATGTGGTCAAAGCCGAGGAGGTCAACTCGGGGTCAACTTGCATCTACAGAAGAGGCTCGGATCGCGGCGGTTCGAAACGCTTTTGCGACCAATCGGTAGCCCGTCTGTGGTTTCGAATCTGAAAGGGACACAGCAGCCACACCGGATTGGAGAATAAGAGGCGGATCCGCGTAGCAGATGCGGGGCAGCTGACTGAAGTTCCGGAACAATCCATCCCCCGCGTGGGACTGGCGGCGCAAGGGAAGGTTGACGATCTGTGTGAGTAATCCGCCCGTTAACGATCGCAACGTTTTGGTCGCAGGGGACGGCGAAGGCAGCAAGGCGATGGGGGGCCTTCCCGACTCGAGCGGGAGGCGCGTCGGAGGCGCAGGTGAGAGAGCCTGAGCGGTTGCCCGCGGGGTTGGCGATGTGCTCGGCGGTCCGCGGCGGTGGCCGCCTGCGCCTGGGCCCCAGCCAGCGAAACGGGCGATGAGGGCACAGGGGTCCATTCTTGGCTTGATGTTGTGAATTGGAAGGAGGATCGAATTTGCTGCCCCGTGACTGGGAAGTTCCAAGCCACGAGTGGGTGAGATGACAAACCGACCATAAATTTGGGGAGAGAATGAGGTCCTCGAAGACCTGCGCACGTGGAGTGGCACCAGTGGGTGGGGTGGGGTGGGGTGGGGTGGAGTGGGGGGCCCCTGACAGTGCTGCGCACACTGAAGCTATTGGGCTTCTTCGAAAGTATGATGATAAGTTCCTGACAAGATAGGGGTAGACGCCTAGGTAGTGTTGCCAGCTACAGCTGGGAAGTCAAGGTCTTGTCTAAAAGCTGACTATTGGGGTACTGTCGCAGGTCCCAGGCTGGCGCGTCGCTGCGCGTCCGTGGTGAGTCCCCCTTGTGGGTCAGTGTCATTTTCCTGTGAAACACAGCGCGTTTGTGGAAATTTTCGGAATGCAATGGCGCCACAGTGGCAGCATGCCCTGCATTCCCGCATTTTCGCAATACAGTTATTGCTTTGCTTTCGATGTCAGGAATGCAAATTGACGACATCATTATGCTGATAAATAAAGGCCCAAAAGGAAGTCCAGTTCCAAATGAATTTCGAATTTTGCCAGTGGAGATTCATTTTGCGATGCTTCCATGCTCAAATTTGAGAAGCGCAAGTGCATGAAACAGGCAAAATTACAACTATCCATCCCAAAGTTGGTCAGATCCAGTCACAGTTCAATGACTAACAAGGCTCACTTGATTAGGATACGCACATGTGCGGAAGGTTGCGCACCCTTCCGCAAGGGACTCCTTGTTGCATTTCCATTACGCCGTCTGACCGCCGCAAATGTGCTTTCAGGATCCGGCGTTGATTTGGTTCGCTCTCGGCTTCGTGTCCTTCTTCGCCTTGGTCGCTGTCATCTACTTGGCGACGAGTCCGGAGCAGTAGACGGGGTATCAGCATCGCAGCTCGACACATTCATGCGTGACCCATGTCGAGGAAGTGCATCTGGGGGGTGTCGAGATCTTCTTCTGTATTTTATGTGGTATGGCAGTTTATCTCGTGGCTCACGAATAAATGGAGATGAGCAACGATTCCGAAGAAAGGTGTGGACCCCATTGTGCCTGCCGACTGGAGATTTCGAGGGCGACGCCTCGTCGACTTCGGTAAATGGAATGTGAGGGGTTGCGGGAAAGAAAAATCTCCCGTCGATTGAATAGAGGGAATCGAAGAAATCGAATCTGCTCATCTTCGATTCTGGAGGGCACAGGAGGGGAACGCCGTTGCCAGCTCAGCCGTTGGACTGACCAGTCATGATTGAGGACTGACGGCGACTGATCCATTGGGGAGAGACGGCCAGCGAACCGATGACGGTCGATGATGGAAGCCGGCTGAAGACGTGTATCGAGTGGCAGGGAAATAGGCGTTGGACGCACATTGAGTTGTTGCACTTTCTGAGGTATCTGAACGGATGAAGATGTTGCCTAACAAGGTTTATTGGGCGCAGGGTGCGCGTGGGGATTGGGAAATGGATGGGAAATAAACTAGAGGGGAGGGGAATTTTTTCATCGGGAAAGGGGAACAATCCATTTCATTTTAGCGAAACGCATGTGCGGTCGCGTGTGCGGAGACGACAGGGAAAGTGCCTAGCTTCCGACTGTGAAAGCACAGAATGGCGTCCCTTGTTAAATCCGGGCAGCAGTTGGTTGTCTTGCTTATGGACTGGTGAACAAAACTCGATGACACGGTCGTCAAGATTGACAAGGTTTCGAAGAGAATAACATCGCTATAGCGAGCGTCAGGAACCTGTTTTTCTCTCGGTTAGTAGTTTTCTTCATTTGCCGAGGTTGCTATTTTCTGGTCATTTTTGCCAGTGTATGTGGAGGGTGAATGTTGAGTGTTGGTGAGAATCCAAGGGCATAAACTCAGAATGGCGCGGGCGGTGGATCGCTCCGTGGGCATTTTGATGGAACTGGAGCAGCGATGGATTAGGGTGCAAGGTGCTGAACGCGCGTGTGCGTTTGGGCGCCCTGCTCGCGCTTCGTTGTGAATAACAGTGTAAGAACGCTGTAAAACCCATCTGCAAGAGCTGGACGTTTGCGGAAATTTCGTTACGTGTTCGATTCATGCTGAATCACAGAAATCGTGCATCGTTTGCCTAATCCGTTTAAGCAAAGTCACCAGACACAGCCACGATTTTCGTGCCATTTCCACTTGAACCTGAAGGTGTTGTAAATGTGCCATGGTTTCCGTTTGGGTGCTTGCATTCCGCTTACAATCATGCAATACACTAGCTGCACATTTTCCTGAAGGGTTCGTTTTCCTTACAGTTTCAAAGCTATATTTGGAGTAATTGACTTCAAATTGTCTGCGCTACTGCGCACGGTGTCGGCTATACTAGACTCGATACTGCGGACGTGTCCGCGACGTCGAGCACACCATTCGCCAAACTGTCCAGGACGCCAAGCACAATATCGACGTCATTGTCTGCGACGCTCTCACCGCCAACCAGAGCTCTGGGCAGTTTTTCCGACATTGTCACTACTGGGATAACATGTGTCGCTGATAATGTCCCCCGCGAGGGAAACGAATCTGCACGTCCGCGATGCTTGCGACGATCAACCCATCACACACGTGTGTACATTCGCTTGTCCAAGCGAATACAGCTCACAGCATGTAGCCACCTGCATGCAGCCCACAGCACCACATTAATGTTAGGGGCAGCAAAGCTCGGTTTGCGCCAGGCCAAAATGGCAAACACCTTTCGCAACTCCTTAATGAACTTCCTCCCACCGTCGCCTTTGACCATCCCCTGGTGCCTTCAGCGCAGCCTCACTCCGGGCCATAAAGTGCACCTTCGCCCACGAATCGCGCAGCAGCCAAACCCCCTTTTCCGGGAAAGCGGAGCCGGACGAGGCACGTGTCAGATACGCGCCCCGCTCGCAAAGGGCCTCGCCCGCTCATGTGCTCCCAATGATATAAATCTGGCCCTTGGACAGCAAACCCAGCTGCTCCCAGCCCGTGTCCACGGGCCCTTTTTGGCCTTGCGCTCGACCTCGCCCTCCTGCACCGCGCACACCCTGAGGCTCAAAGGAGTATCGACACCCTGGGTCGCCGAACGCCCGGGGCCGTCAGAGCGCACAATTTTGTGTGTTCCGTCAGTACATCGCGGGACGGTCCTTCCGGCTGTGTTGAAGGGCGCAGCCGGCCAGAAGTCGAAGGAGGGGGGGCGTCCCGGAAAGCTCATAACCTCGGTGCCGATCCTATCGGCGAGTCTTTGAGCGGGATGGGCGCGGGGCTGGAGCCTCGCCGAAGCGGCGAGCTGGGGGATGCGCTGCTGGCCGGCGAGCAGGATGTCGAGGCGGCCGCGGGCCTCGGGGCAGGTGGGCGGATGCGATTGAAGCCGTGGAGGCCAACCCACCGGGCTGACCGGATCAACTTGATGCGGATGTGCCCGCCATTCCTATATAGGAAGGCCGCGAAGGGCGGCGGTCGGAACGCTTTTGCGCCCAATCGGCACACCGCTCATGACCTCCCGCCTGAAAAGGGACGCGGTGACCCCATCGGGCTGGAGACTAATTAGTTTATAAGCTGCGGATCTGCTCAGCAGATGAGTTCGACTCACCGGGTTTTCGGAATAATCCGTCCGTTCCGCGGGAATGGCGGCGCACGGGAAGGCCGACGACCGCCGTGAGTGATCCTCCCGCTTTTGGTCGCAGGGGCCGGCGATGGGCTGAAGTCGACGGGCGGGCGTCCCGGCTCGAGCGGGAGGCGCGTCGAAGGCGCAGGTGAGAGAGCGCGGGCGACTGCCTGCGGGGTTGGCGGCGGCGTCGAGTGGCCCCAGGCGCCTGGGCCCCCAGACAGCGCAACGGGCGCTGAGGGCCCCGGGGCGGGGCGGGCGGGCGCCGGGAATCCGATGCGCGAATGGGGTCCGTGATTGGTTGGATGCCGCTTCATTAGAAGGACGCTCGAATGCGCAGGCCCCCGGCTCCGAACTTCAGGGGCGGTACCGGGCGAGTGAACAAACCGCCACCCAATTGGATGAGAATGAGGCTGTGAAAGTCGTGCGCGCAATGGGACCCCATCCGTGAAAGACCCGTCTTTGCTAGACGGGGACCCCAAGGGCGGGGAGGGGGGAAGGGCTGTGGTGAGAAGTCGTGGAGCTGCTTGAGCTTCGCCAAAAGCTTGGCCGGTAACGTCCCTCAACGCCTTGAGTCTGTTGCCTGCTGCTGCAGCTGGATGCTAAATGCTTCACCTGAAAAGATGACTGTTGTGGCATTGTTACAGGTCCTAGCCTGGGACGTTGCTGCGCGGACGTGGTGGGTCCCTTCCCCCCTTGAAAGAGTTTCAGTTTCCAATGAAAGATTGCGCGGCTGTAAAATTTCCCGAATGCATCGTCGCTGCAGTCCCAGCGTGTCCTGCACTCCTGCATTTTGCAGCAATACAGATGCTTTGTGCTCGCTGTCGAGAATGCAATATGGTGGCGCCACCAAACTGGATTACGCAAAGGCAGGCCCGGACTTCATATGCAGAGCGATTCTAGTTCGTGACAGTGCCCCCAAGTCGTTGATGCTGGTTTCAAATTTCAAGTTTGAGGAACGCAACCCAAAAGAACAGACAAAAGCATAGTAGCAACTTTCAATCCATAGTTCGCCAAGCAGGCCGACGTTCAATGACGTCATTGACTTCATGAGCGTCGACGCTGATATCGACGCTCTCCCCCCTCAACGTTGGTCAGCTTGGCTATACACGCAACACCCTTCAGCACAAGCTCGCCGATGCATTATCCGACTCGGCGTCTGACCGCAGCGGGGTGTGCTTGCAGGATCCGGTGTGGATTTGGTACTCCCTTGGCATCTTGGCTTTTTTCGCCGTGGGCGTGGTCAGGTACCTGACG